GGATTTTCAAAAAATAAAAACTAAACTAAACTAGCAAACAATTGGTAAAAACTAATTAAAACTGATATAAAATTGAAAATCTGAAGTCAAAACTAAATAAAAATAAAAACTAATGAAAATTGCAAAACTATTAAAACCCTGCTTAAAACACACACACGCAAATAACGTCAATAGGGAGCTTCTCTCAAACAAAGACCATATGATGGCAACAAGAATTATTTATTATAATAATAATAAATAATAATAATAATAATAATAATAAACAGATGAGCAATTTAAGATACACTTTATTGTGCACCAGGGTTTCATAGATGAGAAACAATGGAGCCAAAAGTAGATGGAAAAAACAAGAAACAGTGGACACGAGCGCCCTAAACCTGCATCCTTTCTAGGTTAGTTATTTAGTTATTAAGCAGAAAATTTAAGAACAGCATCCGCATATAGGAAAATTTTAATACAGAATTCCACTCACGCTGTTGGCGTTAATTAAACGGTTTGTAGACTATAAGCTTCTAATATTTGTAGCTGACTTTTCTATTGAACTTTTTCATATTCTATAAAAAAAAACCAAAAAAAAAAAACCAACAACTTCCAGACAAAAAATAATATTAGGCTCATCACTTCACAAATCTGCGGCTGATTGAATAAGTAAGCCACACATGGACACATGCTGAGAAATGAAGTTGCAGATAAAGAGGACAGAAATAGAATCAATCATGAGAGACTAATGTTTGTGTGGGTTACTGAGCTCCTAAACCAAGTTTCTGTCCCAGAAAGATGCCGTCCAAAGACACAAAACTGTTTGATCACTGCGTGTCTGTTAAAGACCAAAACCACTTTTTTTTTTCCTCAAGGTATGGAGCAGGAAAAGGACACTCAGAAGCAGTCGTTTCTACAAATATGCCTCCTGCTGGCACAATTCTCCCCTCTTGGAGAGTTCATTGAATGATGAATGTTTTGTGTCTGTGTGAGTCTACATGTGCGCGCGCCCTCGCTCAGTATCACTGGCCACCTGACAACATAAAATCCCGCTCTAATGGCACACAACCTGTCTCAATGACAGACCCCTGGGTTCTTCTAATACACTGCTTAATAGACAATCTATGTTTCAGACCCTGCATGGGTCCATTTATGTGAGTGTGTCTGTGTGTGTGCAGCTTTTAAACAGTAATATGCTTTCTCCAACAATGTGGTGACCTGCCCTGTGGGTATTGTCTGTTGCTGGGTAT